CAAAATGTTTTTGACAAGTCCTCAAGGGTCTTAAGTCTTGTATTTCCAAGAAATTGAATTTTTCATGAACATCGCCATATTTTAGGGTACCATACCCCCCGTAACTCTATTAATTAACACTATTAATATGTTACTCCGCTTTAATTTAAAACAGCACTGTAGCGCAACAAATTACGTTAGAGTTAATACGTTTGTTGAATGAACAAAATGAGGAGCAAAAATTTAATTAGCCTGTGTGGCAAGCGTCCGAAGGGGAGGGAAAGGGGAAATAACGAGCGAGCGAGGCGCGTGATGGTAGGGGTGATGGTTCCTCTTCGAAGCGTGCTTGGTCCTCCCGCGCTCATTTTGACCCTTCCCCTCCCCTTCTACGGCCTGCCACCCAGGGTAAGATTTAATCATGACCAGGAGAAACTTTGAGAAACAAGATCCTGCATTGCTTCTTTTTTTTTACTTGTAACAATGAAACTATGGTGAAAACTAAAGCTTGCACAGAAAAGTGACATCATTTGTTAACTTTACGGCCGGTGGTGATAATTGTCAATAATTTCAACCTACGTAAATCAGTTAGAAACAATTTGGGTATAAACGGCGCTATATTTCATTCTAGAAACGTAGCACTTAAAGCATAGATCCCAAGGATATTCTAAAATTTGTGCCAACAAAGTGCCTATGAAATGAAATAATTTTTAACAGAAACAAAGAATTTTGGGTGTGGAAATTTGAAAAAAAAGAGGTAGAAATTGTAAGAAAAGTGTAAAAAGAAATCCTAGGCTCTTAATCCTGTACGTTTTTATCTTTTCACACCTGTTTCGCGCAGATCAAGACTGACCTCGAACGTTATGTACTTCGAATTTCGAAGCATGAGGCCTTCATTACATATTCAAGTTATTGTGTAATAACCCAGGCCTCGGTTTATTCTCTGTGTGATCTGTTTCATCAAGACATGTACATATCTTCGAATTAAGCCCACGCGACTTCAGAGATCGATCGAACATTCCATCAAGCAATTACAGTAAGATTTAATCATTTGTCAGAAAACTTCCTTCTTTAATTTTTCCTTCTTGTTGCAGGTCTCTCCAAGCGCAAAATTCGCTACGCGCCAAAAAAGCTTTCATCAAATTCCGTTCCGGGCAACATTGTACAAGCTTCGTCTTGAAAATAAAGTGCATTCCAGTACCACTGAAAAATGCTCTCACGCATGCTATGCTATCTGCAAACTCTAAAAGGTTCCATCAAAACTGTGGTTGCGTGGTTTTCCTTTTGTGTGAATATGTTATAACTTGGCCAAGAATATCACGGTGGATAAAGTTTTGCCGGTCAGATTTGCATATGATTAGTATGCAAGATAGAGAACCTGCAAACTGTGTTGCTTTACATGCATAATTTTTCATACAACGGCGACAAAAAAAAAAATGTCGTAAAATTTCTTGATTTTTAGTTGAACAAAAGCGAAAAGAAAAATGAAATAAAACGGCAGTTGATAAAATGGAGGATCAAAACTGTTTTGACAAATTGGAACTACAAAGATAAAGGTTTGCGAGTCAAAATAAGATTTTACCGTGTCAAGTCTGGTTATCACCATTACATTGTGACTGCAGCGCTGTAAATCATATTTCTTGTAACGCAGAAGAAAGCACATCCAGTACTGTAGTTTTGGCTTAGTTGCAGCAAAGTGCATATAGCTTTCACGTTTGAACCTCGGCCAATGTGAGCACAGCCATATTAGCATATTACATAACGTAAACACCATTTCGCGATCGCAGCTTCTTTTAGAGACTTTTCGTGTTTTTTTTTTTAATTTAATTTTTTTTTTCTTTTTTGCAATGTGTCGTTTTGCAACTGCATCGATCACTGTAAATAATAAATTTATATCGATTGGAGCTCAGTCGCAGTTACATTCGCTGGATTCTGAGGAAATTCGTTTGTGTGGAATATAATATGGATAGTGGGAATTCAGTACGATTCTGGATAACAGTATAAAATTAAACCCTTACCGGTGCTCGCCTTGTTTGCGTCGAAATGGTCGAGTAACACAACAAGAAGTACTCCAAACGAAGTGTGAATCCCATATACCATGAACATAACAAAAAACGATCCTGCACAAACCACCCAAGCCCAACCTCGGTCTTTTGCCGGGCTGTACTCGGTCGGTAGCTGCCTGTGAGCGTAGTTTATTAGCGTTATGCTTCCTCCAACTGGAATCGATGTAAGATTTTCGATATTCATTGAAGAGTGCGACCGGGCAACGTTAAGATTCGTCATCTCAAGTGACACATGCACTTTAGGACATGTAAATAAATAGCTTGTACACACAATCGCGCAAAAACAAATCAAATTTCCCACTGACGGCTTGAAAACAAGCCCAAAACGCACTCCACTTGATGTACGATGGCACAAAAAATGCACGGACTTTTCAGCTTAAAAACCTGCTGAAATCCAGCTCAACTGGCTGAGTACTGCACTCCACAGAAGCCCTATTTGCTTTTAATTGGGAGAATTGTATTCGTCCCTACTGATCAGTAATTGCTTCATTTTGTCGCTTTCTCGTTGCCGCAAACAATCAGCGATGAACATTACAAAGCCTTTTGAAAATCTCCAGAGTAATAACTCCATTATAACCTCCAATTTTATCTCGAGCTTAATTATTGCCGGTAAAAACGCTTTGAATATTTTGACTCGATACTTAGTTTCCAGATTTGAATATTATTATTTGTTTAGCTCGTGTTGTAGTGTCAGGTAGTGTCAGCTGGATATTTTCAAGGGGCTTTTAACTCTAGCCAATAAGAGCGCTATTTTTCATGTGTAAGAAAACACTGACGAAGTCTGACAAACCACCTGCGCGAAATGTTGTCAAGAAATAAATTATCGATAAACCTTTGCAGCGAAAATGCTGCTTTGTTTTTCTGAAGTGTTCGTAGAAAGACCTCAAAATGTTTTAATAAGAGTTATACTATGTTTTGAGTGAATTTTTAATGTAATTTCCCGGCGAAAACGAAAACTGACGAGTTAAACGACGAAAAAAAGAAGACTCTTTCTGCGATCTTGTGTTTTGATGGTCAGCGGATGAAAAGTACGTCCTAGTCTCGCTCGGTTGTGAATATTCTTTACCCATTCTCGTCCTCAGACCCATCACTTCCTTTGATCAGTCTGATATTTATATATCAACAAAATTTCTGGATGAGAATTATTTTTACGCAATTCTGACTAATAAGTTCTTTCATTCTGAACAGAATCCAGTTTACCTTAACCTAGCCTCTTCACAAGTGATTATTTCAGTAATTTAAGGGGGGTTCTTCTTAACTACCAATTGGTCATGAATTTGCTGCTAAGGAACGTCTCTAACCGTCATATTTTGAAAACCAGACCTCCCAATAGTAAGCTTTTTGCACAGGTTTGTTCCGTTGAAGAGTCCTGCAAACGTTTGAAATCACAGCCAAATTTTACAAGTCACGTGACCAGAATAGAAAAAATCATAAAACTTAAAAGGCTTCTAAATCTGACATTTTGAATCAGTGTCAATAGATTACGAACGTCCACTTGCTTAATGCTGCGAATGGTTTTTATGAAATTCGCATTATGATAAAAATTATGAGGTTATATCATATAAACACCCGTATCAACAGACTTTCTACAGTAGCTTTCCTAAGGCTAAGTTATTTCTGATTCATGAGAAAAATCAGACTGTTCCTCCTTTCTCCCAAGTTTTAGAGATTTACAATTTTAACGCGCGGTTTGGGACTGGCATTAGTTACGCACCTGAAATCGAACCTTTTTTCCGGCAAAGCAAACGTTGCCTCATATAATATTCACCATTTAGCAAAACAAAACGCTCCAAAACATGAAAGTTTTCCTCTAAATATCGTCTTCAGCAATCCCTTAGCAACTGCTCTAAATCTGTAGTTAAGTTGGATCCCCCTTAAAAAGCGGTAGCGTAGCCAGCATAGGAGAGCTAGTGGAGTCACCGTAAATCTACAGAAAAAAGGAGAAAAGGCCAACTCTTTGCAGATTCAGGTAGGGCTCAAGATCAACCCCAATGAGACAGAAGTCTTGCCTATAAGCCGGATCTCAGCTCCACTGCTCACTAACAGTGAACAGTTGTACCTTGCAACGATTGAGCACTTCACCTATTTGGGTAGCAACCTGGTTTAAAGAGAACTGGAAACGAGGTCCCTTTTCCATCCCGTCCCGTCTTGAAAATGCACTCCACTGTGTGGTAGACCGGTCAATGTAAAATGGAGACTGCAGACTACATGCTTTTTAAGAATATATCTTTTTATTTCCATTATCGAGTGCTAACCATAAACAGTGTTATTCAGGCTAATCGCAGTGAAAGTCTGCGTTCCGGTTATCCTAAATATCAGTCAGGTTAGCCTAAACAATGCTCTGGTTAGCCTGTTTACGGTTAATTAGCTCTCGATGATGGAAACGGTAACACGATTCTGTTAAAAAAGTCTACAGTCTGCAGTCTTCATTTTACCCCTGGTCTGCAGTCTGCATTTTAGTCCTTTACCCTCAGTCTATATTTTACCCTCAGTCTGCAGTCCGCAGTCTGCGTTTTACACTGACCGTGTGGTATACCCTACTTACAGTAAACTTAGCGTACGGGGAAGAACTTGGAAAGTCTGAGGAAGGCGAGTGGTTGTGGGAAAACCAAGCGAGTCACAGCAGAACCTCAAAAACCATCAGAACCAGAGAACCTCGAGAATCAGACTGACTACAGAACCAGAAAACCAGGGGCCGGAGACCCAGAGAAGTTAAGTGACCTTGTTGACAAATTTTGAAACGTGCATCTCTCCATTTGTCTGTCCTTTGAACGCCGCGTAACTTGCTCTCAGGTTAGGTTTAGAGCAATGGGCGTGGCCAGGATTTTTCAAAGAGGGTCACACCGTGTCAGCAGATTGTCACGTCGTTTTCGCCACCTGTTATAGGTTAATTGCCTAAAAAAAAGGTTTACAAAGGGGGGGGGGGGGGGGCGGGCCCCATTAGCCACCAGCCACGCCCCTGAGAGCTAATGGCTCCTGGATCGAACTCTAGCATCGGCTGTACCTCGGTGTAAAAATCTCACAAACGACGTCACCTTTACACCTCAATAAAAAATGTAAATAGAAACAATCTCCTAACTTTCGCGATTCTTGCAGTTCTTGTGGATCTCTGGTTCTCGTCAGGGTTCTCTGGTTCTCGTAGTTCCCCTGTACGTAGATGTAGAGATGCTGCTCTGTTTTATGAGTAATAAACACAGCGAATTGCATAACATATGTGAAAAACAACCCCCCCCCCCAAAAAAAAAACCCGAAATTTGGAGAGATGTTTTGTTGTGCGACTAGAAATTTGAAGCCTGACAGAAAATGTCCGTGCGCGTGTTATGTGGCCTAAGTAACCCCCGTAGGTCGATATCACCAAAACGTTGATCTCCTGTAGGTAAACATTGCTGAGTAATAACTATTTTTGAAAAAGCAAAAGCAGCCAGTTGCATAATGTTTCTAATCCTGGTAAAATTCATTTTCGTCGCGGTGGCTTTGTCCGAGGTACCTGTATCCCAGTTTTGTTAGCAAGTTGGTTTACAGCTAATGCAGACGAAGATACTTATGACCAAAATGATCAAACTATGCCGACTCTCTATCTGAGTATACCCTAATTAGGATAAAACGGCTAAAAAGCTAAACCTTATGACAGGCGCAAAGCGCTCACTCGTTGCTTTGTGACATCACACTGGTAGCGACGAGTCGGTCAAAACAATAGTGTCAACCCCGCCTAGCGCCTTCCTTCCGGGAATGCTCTTATTCCCAAGCTAGGACTATTATACAGACCGCAGTAATCCATGATTACTTCCTTCCGGTGGAACTGTGAAATTGCTGTAACTTAATTGCCAAATTTGGAAATGCATGTACTTTCTCGCGAGAATGTTAAAAACTAAAATGTTATTCTCGTTCCTCTATTGACTCTCTATTTTCTGCTCAATGTCCTCCTTCCCGTCAGACCCCGCGAGCGCTTTACCCGTTCCCAGCTCTTACTCATGATATGGAACCCGAGTCATTCCAACTGAGAAGGAATGAAATTAACAAGTTGTCGTTTTGTCTTCATAATACAGATAGTAAATAGAATTCTAATGGGTAGTGAAGGTAAGAATGACAATTCTCTTTGTAACTACAATTGTTCTATCAAGATGAAGAGAATTTTCTGGGGGCGAGAGTTTCTATTTTTGCTCGCACAAGTTTTCAGATCAAAACTTTGCAAACACAAGACAGTGCAAATCCCTAAGCCTGGCTAGAAAGTTCTAAATCGAGACCTTTACAAGCAGCGTCCTTACACAGCAAAGAATTTTAGATTCCAGCTTTACTTTCAAACCAAGACCTTGAATATTTCATTTTGGAAAACCGTTGGGAATATCTTTTTCGATCGAGGTGTCAGTGCTACGAAATGAAATTGATTATGCAACTTTAGCTAAACGACTGTTTACATTTATAATGTACATTGCATAAACTTAGTATCCGTTCGCTTTTTTTTAATATATCAGGATTGTAAACATTTGAAAATTTGAAAGACCTTTGTTGTTAAATATACGTGTAATTTTAGCGTGTAGCACCAGATTGACACGATGATAAATTAATTTGTTTTGTCTAAAAAACATTAAATGCGAAACACAGTTTGAAATTTTAGGTGAACAATCATTGGCCTGTTCACGATGTTTCTTTTGATCTGAGCTTAATTACCAGACAATCTGCCCTGTTGGGGATAACTTTTATTAATGACGTCACAACTTATTTCCTGAAAAGTATAACTCTCTCCAAGCCATATACGTAAAGAGTGTTCGGGAAAAGTTTCGTTGCAGGCATGTGGAAAGTTTTACCACCTAAAGGTTCTGACCAGCAATTCCCTGTGAAATTTTCACGTAAAGGTACTGTACATAACGTAAACATGCCACAGACCATTTCACATTTGCGGTCAAAACGATTGATTTCTTTCTTTGGGAAGCAGGAATTATTTTCAAGCTGAGAGTGCCGGTTAAACTCAATTCGCTCACAAATGTCCATTTGTGTGAACGTTACAGACATTTTTAACGTTAAAACTGTAGCATGAATTTTAAACGTTGAATGTTTATCGAAGTAAATTAATGATGTTTTACGAGGAAAGAAATCCAAAATTTTCTTTGGTCATATATTTAAGTTTTCGGCCGGTCTATTGATTAAGATTTCCTGTCTGCCACAAATTCTTTCGGTCTGTTCTCGTTTTCAAGCTGAACGATCACGTAAAAACATGATCAAAATGGCTGTGAATCAACAAGAGATTTTGCTGAGTGAATTAAGAGCTATTTTTGATAACTTTTATAACAAAAATTGATATAAATAAGAGAACAGATACAGAAAAAAGCTGACCTCATTACAATATTTCAACTTTGTTTTCAGTGATGCATATCATTATCTTGCATATTGTTGCTCAGTGCCTCTAAAAATAAACAGCCCTCTCAAAATTGTGTCATCAGCTGACAGTTTTGCTGCATACTGTCTATTACTTGCCATTTAGTTCACCTGGTCTCCAGGCTGGGCAGCCTTTAAGATCTCCAGGGAAGTCATCTTGAATGGAACCTCAGATCAGCTTGTTGTCAACTGCTCCTCATAATAAAAATTGTTGGTGCCCTCCACTGGAAAGCCAGCCAGAGTTAAAATGTATATGGCTTAATATCCTGTGAGAAAAAGTGTCTGATATGCTTACATAACAACTACTGTAGCCAGAGCACTTGTCACTAGACAATGAAAACCATTTAATATGTTTACGTAGTAGATGGTGCATTATCTTACAATATAATACTACATCTGTGTTGATTGAACCTGTAGAGCTTTTATTATGCCTACTGCCTTTTAAAGTTCAAAGCTGTTACAGTTCTTTCCTAGTGCAACGTGTTTCTTTTCTCAGTTTCTTGTCTTGATCAAACTTGCTCATTGCTCAAAGAACAATTAGCTCCTAGAAAGATTATTATTATTCTCATTAATATTTTACAGCCCTTACATGAACTGGGGTAAATATTTCAGAGTGAATATTTATTTACATATTTATAATCTTTTGCTTTAATTTCCACTTTATCTTGACTAGCAACCAAAGCTGCTGAGCAAGAGCCCTACAAGGTTCAGTTTAGTGAGAAAGAACTTAGAGAGAAACTTACTCTGCAGGAATATCATGTGACACAGGAGAGGGGTACAGAGAGGTCAGTGGCAATGATATATTAAATAAAACTGTAGTCTGGTCGTACATGTAATACTGACAGGATAAATAAATTTTTACTGCATCTGAAATGTTCCCAAAAAGGAGAAATACTTAAAGCACTTGAATTGAAATTGTGAGAAAGATCATTCTTGACTTATAATGTTAATGAACATTTACTTCTATCAGAGAACACTTGGGAAGCTAAGTCTCAGACATAAATTGTTAACATCGGGTAAATTAAGATTCAGACAAGCTGGAAATGCCAGGGGCTACCAACTTCTTGTCTGGGTCCTCCTACCATCCTTAATTAGTAGGACTGCCTTGGGGGTACTCCTTTATATGGGCTATATTGGTATGTGTGGCCCCAAAGGGACATGCAATGGTGTTTCATTTGAGTCATAAATAGGGTATTGATTTTGGCCATTTTGATCTTCAATAGGGTATGGTTTTTGCACTCTAGTCTTAAATTGGGTATGTTTTTTTTAGAAGAAGCTACCGTTTCATCATTATTGATGAGACCATCAACAATAGCCCTTCTTAAATTATGTTGACGGCAAATGTGCCAGCCACAACGTTCATAAATAGGGTATCAGATTTTTGGTTGAGTCATAAATAGGGTAAGTGGGCTGCATACCCCCACCCAATTTTTCTGGGAGTACCCCTGGGGTAGGACCCCAATTAAACTTGCTGAAAATCCTTGAGACTTAAAGGGCTCAGTCACGGTATTTTGAGTTATTTTGACCACATACAAAATTATCTTTAAATGGTAGGAAAACTGAAAATAACAGTTTAATAAGATAGAAAAACACCAATGAGATAATGATAAACCATAAAGGAACGAGGATGGCTAAGGATGGAGAAGATTAACACGGATTACAAATGATTGAAAAGGCATTGTGTTGTTGGCAAAGCTATTATTTTGTGGAAGACACCTTATTGTTATAGTGCTGCTCTCCAATCAGGTGTATAAATGTGTATCAGCAAATGTTACTCAGGTTCACCTGTGAGGGACTAGCATCCTATCCAGGTGGGAGTAGCAATACACCTAACAGCCTCTACATGGAAAGCCCGAAAGCACTAAGAATTATGAGCCAGAAGGGTTAAAAATGCTTCACTCACCACTTCCTTTATAGAGCATTTACTGGTGAACTCTGGGATAACAAGGAACCCGGTGTGTACAGATGCATTGTTTGCGGAAAGAAACTTTTCCTGTCTGACACCAAGTTTGAATCCGGCTCTGGTTGGCCGTCATTTTGGGAAACGGCTGAAGATGGAAGTGTGAGGAAAATTACGGATACTTCACATGGAATGACAAGAGTTGAAGTAACATGTGCTGATGTGAGTTTTAGTCAAGCCACATGACATTATATTGTACCTTCAGTTGATGCAACAGGTAACTGTGGAGGTGTGGTGGCCTCGTGGTTAGTGCACCCATTTCCGGATTGAGTGGTCCGGGTTCCAGCCCTCGCCTGGCTGGCCAGATATTGTGTTGTGTTCTTGGGCAAGATACTTTATTCTCACAGTGCCTCTCTCCACCCAGGTGTATAAATAGGTACCCGCAAATTTAATGCTGGGGGTAACCCTGCAAAGGACTAGCATCCCATCCAGGGGGGAGAAGAAATACTCCTGGTTGCTAGCTTCATGCTACAGAAACCAGAGATAAGCGCCAGCCTGATGGGCCACTTGGCTCGCATGTAGACTTTACCTTTATCTTGGTGTAATGTAAACTTAACATGCTCATTCATGTTTGTATAGTACAGGTAATGTGAGTGAAACTTGAGGGTTTTCATTGCACACTACAAATGATATCTGACAATTCTCTCATAATTGCACAAGCCTTTAGGTGAGTGCAATTTGTTAATGACAGAATTTTCAAATATCATGAGTAGTGTAAAAATTATCTTTTACTGCCTTTTAAGAGCTTTCATACATTAACCCATTTAATGATTGTGACTTAGAATTTAAGAATGCTCACACAGTAATTTGAATTGCAGTGCAAATGAAAAGTTGAGGATAAGTTGGCCTGCTCTCAGCCAATCACAATGAAGTAATTTTCTCAGTCACATCTACATTCATTAAAAACATAAATCATGGCACGTGTCTTGTCTCTGTTACAGTGTGGAGCACATTTAGGACATGTGTTTGATGATGGCCCCAGACCAACAGGCCAGCGTTACTGCATGAATTCAGCATCACTTAAGTTTGACCCTTCAAAAGGTAACTAAGCCATTGATATACCTGGCCCAGGTTGTTCAAAAGGTGGGTAATGCTATCCACTGTATAAATCACTATTTGCCCCAGCGGATAGCGTGGTTTGTTCTGTTATCACTTATCCAGTGGATCGTGCACATGATTTATCCAGTGGATTAACCAGCCTTCAAACAACTGGGGCCTGGAAAACAAAGAAATGTCCATTCACCAAAATCTGGCCAGCTTGTTTTGGGCCAACATTTGGTGGCTATTATGATGAGTTGGTTGTAAACTGACCAGGTTCTAGTTGTATTAAATTTTTGTCTTTAGTTATGTATTTATTTATTAAAACTGTTGTTCAACTACAGGTCTATGAAAAGAATATTCCCTTGTTTTGTTCTGAGTTACCAAAGCTTACCCACACCCACCGGTCCTTGTGGGAGGCATGGTGCCCTCATGGTTAGTGCGCTCATTTCTGGATTGAGTGGTCTGGGTTCAAGCCCTGGCCAAGGACATTGCGTTGTTTCCTTGGGCAAGACACTTAACTCTCACAGTGCCTGTCTCCAACCAGGAGTATAAATGGGTACTGATGAACTTAATGCTGGGGGTAACCCTGCAATGGACTAGCATCCCATCCAGGGGAGAGTAGAAATACTCCTAGTCACTTCATGCTATGGAAACCAGGATAAACTCTGGCCTGATGGGCCACTTGGCTTGTATGCAGACTTAACTTACCCACACCCACATACAGATCGGGAGACCTCGCCCAATTTGCAGCATACATAATCCTCAACATTTTTGACAAATATGCTAAGTCAGAAATGGCATAGAAATGGAGAGCGAATAATCTAATCTGTTTTAATTTGTATAAATCTACTTGTTTAGCAATTCAAAACTTTATCTAATGCAAAGAAGTGGCAGCCAATTTGTTAACAAGCGCATAATGCTAGGCTACTCACTATCTGCAACAGAATATAGTGGGTAGCGTAGCCAATCAGAGAATGGCATTTGCAATTGAACACTATTAGATTTATATTTAAACAAATTAAAGGCTCATTAAGCTGTTTTGTCATAGGATTTATCCACTGCTCAGTTCCCATATGCAGTGTTAGAAATTAGCACTTGCCCCCTCGCCTATGCAAGTGTGACAAGCATTGGGCGAGTACGATTTTCATTTTCGAGAAATTATTTAGGTATACATATTGATGGCACTCCTTTTTATTTTCCATTTTGACAAGAATATCTCAAAACGAAAACTTACCTCAGTACTTTTTTTATCTTTCAAGATGCCCAAATAATTTGCCAGTAATAAAAAACATAGTGTTTCATTAACTAAGATAGATACAGCTTACTCCAGTGATAATTTACACTAACGGTTACACGTCTATGAAGGGATATATACTGCTGGTCTCTAGTTGAGCCGACAGTAATTAGGGCATGAAGATTTGCTTGTTAAGAAATAAATTTCACACAAATTTCTCTTGAAAATAATAGAAACTGCTTTTGAAAATTAAGGAAAAACATCAGTCTTCCACGTGCTGACAAGTTGTTTACTCCAATGTCTTGATTCTATGGATATGTGGGAATTCGGTAGTGTCAGCTCTTCGTTTAGCTATTTTTCAGTTAAAACTATAGATATGTGAAAATATTTCCAAAGAGTGTCAAAAGTTGATGATAAAT